GCTTTAGGGTGAGACAAGTGGTGCCTCTACTGTCGCCTGGCGTCACACAGGAAATTGTTTTGCTCCACCTGAAGCAGAACTCCTAGACACCTGATCCACATGGTCTTTACCCTTGTCAGCAAGTTCACGCTGCTCTGGAATTCAAGCCGGCCTCCAGTGCTGGTGACCCATAACCCAGCCCAGCTCAACTTGCTGCCCCATGAGCAAGGAATGGGAGGAGGAGGAGATACACTTAAGAGATCTCCAGCAGCAGAAACAGAACCTCTGACCTCACCCATTGCCAGCATCCCACTTCCCCTTGGCTCACAATGAACAGTGTGCTCCTCAGGCAGTGTCCCACAAGACAGGCTTTCTCTTGCAGGGGAAAGGAAAGCAACAAAACACAAAAACTATTAAACTGGGGCTTCTTACAAACTTTTTCCCCTTTCACATCGCTTAAGCCCAGTCTACTCTATCCACAGTATGAAGCTACTACTTCAGGTTAAGGCTCAGAGATGGGAGTATGCTCCTGAGTATCCACTGCTTTGGCATCTGAAGAACCACTAGTGGCCATCAGTCGGGAAGAGATTAATTCAGAAAATATTTTCAAAGATTCAATCATTTTCTAGGAGTGAATCCTGTCCTTAAGACTTTTACGGTTTTCAGAACTGAGAAGTACAATAATACCACATCTTCATTAAGAATCATGGGGCTTGTCTATGAACTATGGATATAGCTGTAAGATTACAGGGTTTAACTTTTCACTCTACTTCTGTCCTCTCACTTGCTGTTTTTCTCCATTTGTTCTTAGGACATACTCCCCCATCTCATCCTTTTCCGGAGTACTTTATTTTTATACAGTACCTAGACTCATAAGAATCTGTAATACAAATAATTTCACAGGTTAAAAAAACCTAAAGAGTCAGCAAGTCAAGTATGCACATACAAATACACATGCAAATAATCTCTGTAGAAAACAGCTGATTTTGAACACTGTAGTTGTACAACTGATTTCAATAGGTCACTTAAGATGTAAAGAGGACTTTCACCAGTTCTTTAGAAGTAAAACATACGCAATTACAATTTAATAAAACCTTGTCATCCTGCTAACATTAGTTTGCTATCAGTGCTCACTCAATACCTGAAAAAGCTTCTGCTTCTCACGAATTCTATTTTCAAACTGTCTGCGTGAAGCAGTGCTTATGGTCCTCTGGGAAAGCTGGCGAAGACCCTGAAATAAAAGACAAACAGCGTTTTAAAAACAGTTAAATTTTTCAGCTATACCCACACTGGAGTAGAAATATTTTCATTTAAAAGTAAGACAGAAGTGGAAGGGACAGGAAGAAGGGAAAGTTGAAAGAAAAAGAAAAAAACCCTTCACCAAAACCCACTGGTTTAAAATTCACTCAGTCTTTCAACAGACTACATCAAAGACTGACTGGTTACCTAAAATGGAAAAACTCAGGAAAATTACTTTCAATAAGATAAAACACATTTATGGAGCTGCAGCATAACCTTCGTAATTAGCAACCTTTTGGGGGGGATCTTGATCTCAGCCCCTCAGACCTCGGTTTTAGGCACTGATTTTCCGTGTCTGACTCTAGCAATAAGAGCAACAATATTTAAGACAAACGCGTTCGTGCAGACAAGGATCTTCTCTCAGCTGCAGTTCACCTGCCAGCCACCAGCACAGGAGCAAAGCTTCACAGCGCTGAAGGAAGCACACACACACACACACACACAGGGAGAGCTCAGAGACATCCTGCTGTGTCCTAAGCGAGAATCCGTTTCTGTGGTCAGATCCCACAGGTAGGTGCTCGTTAGCACGGGTCGGGCAAGGAAAACCAATACTCTCCAATTCTTCCGACAGCTTAAAGTCCGCCTCCGTTAACATTCCAGGTCGCAAAGTTAAGAGCCAGCGGTGCCTCTAAGCTGCCAACAGTGTCCTTCAGGCAACACCGATCCTCCCCCGCGAAATTAACGCGGCCGCAGGGCAGACACCCGGCTGCTGCCGGCTGCAAATACCGGACCCACACGCTTCCTCCTCTCGCTCACCCCAAATAAACACGCTATAGAATTTACCCCCTCCGAGAGAGG